TTTTTTTTTGAAAAAAGGGTTTAAAATGTTTCTTTGGGGTTTTTTGTTGGGGGCTTTTTTTTTTTTTTTTTTTTTTTTTTTTTGACAGCACAACCTTATCCTTTACCTTTTCTGTTTTTCATTATATAAGTGTTGATCTGTCACTTAAAATCCCAATAAAATACATTGTGTGTAAATGTATGGAAAAAGTTTAAGAAATATAAAAATATGTAAGACAGTTGGTTCCCCTGACTGCTGAACTAGTAGTAGTTTGCCTTACTAGTTAAGGATTTAAAATTTAGAAATATTTATTCAAAGTGAAGTCAGAGGCAGCTTTAAGCTGAATCTCAAAATATGCAATGTAAGCAGTAAATCAGCACGTCCTGATTCTTTATTTTGATTGATTTTTTTAACAGTCCTACAAGTTTTTCTACTTTTACTGTTTAGTTTCTTGAAAGTTTTTAATAATATTTCAGTTGAGTCAGGTTTCCTTTTTCTTTGTTTTCATTTTCACTGTCAAGATACATCTACAGTGTAAGAAACCTAACTAAAATTTAAATAAAGAAAAGCAAATGTTATAAGCATAAAAATTAATGTAAAAAAAATTACAAATAACCTTTTGTCCTAAATAAGACCATCTGCAGCTACTTTACAAAATCTTTAGACTTAAGCTATTGCCAAAGTAATAGCCTAAGTCATTTTTTTGACAAAAGGAAAGCAAAAGTTATAATTCATTATTTTAGGAAGCTATATTAAGGTTTTATTATTATATAAGTTATTTTAACTTGAGGTGGCTGGCAGGAAGTTCAGCACCTTAATAGAAAATCCACAACACAACTGTGTGGTTTGACCATAAATTTGGTCAGATCTATTATGATAGATGCCAATATTCACTGGCCTCCATTTGAGATGTACAGAAAGAAAGCTTGGTTTGTTCATTCAAGACATCCTATGGAAAAGCAGTCCTTAATGAGCTTATAATGAGGGCTGTTTTAAATTTCCTTCTGCAGGTTATATCCGTTTCAAAACAGGCTTCCAGGAGCGTTTTCCGATAGAGGATTACCTGGATCTGTTTGACTTGGCAGCCATCAACATCCAAGTAGGAATCAGTGGAAATTCATCTGGAGAACACCGTGCAAATGAGATCATAACAGGTAAAAAATGCATGCGTTTGTGCGTGTGTGTGTGTGCATGCATCTGGGCTTCTGTGTGTGTGGGCACGGGTTGTGGGGGCTGTGTGTCATTGTGAGTGGGTGAGGACAATTAGGAAAAGTTGGCGATTGTTGTATTTTAAATATGAAAGAATGTGTTCATTATATATTTTGGGAGTTTAACTGTTTGGTGGCAAAGCTTTAAATCCAGCTTGTTGTTTATTTTACAGCACAAGAGAGTTAATTTATGAGGCACACTTATTTCTAACTTTTGACATCACATAAAACTCTTAGTTAAAAAGTGAGAAAGTGAGATGATAGTTTCAAATGGAAATACATTTGAGTGATTTTTACATAAAAGCACCCCTGCATGCAAATCAGAAAACAGACTGTAAGACAAAAACTGAAAAAAAAAAAAACATATAGTGAATACAGAAGAGTGGGAAGTATAAAACTGAATTCATCAAAAAAAAAAAAAAAAAAAGAAGGAACACCAGTTAAAAACCCTGGGGAAAAAAAAAAGGGGTTAGAAATTTGCCTTTTAAGAGATTACATTAGACTGCATCATCACGTTTAAAAGCAGCCTCACTGAATTTAAGCAGTAGCTGGCTAGTTTTTTTAAAAATATTAACTATAATCTCTTTTTAAAATTTTTCACATAATAGTCAAGAAGACTTTTCTGTCTCACTTTCAAATGTAGGAACTCAAGTTCTGCTTCGCATGTTTGGTGACTATTTTAGCAGGAAGGTCAACATTTTACTGTTATCCTGACAGCAAGGAAGTATTGCTGGTGTTCTGTGTAAAAAGTATGTTAAACACTTTCAGTCAAATGCAGGATTTCTTCTTCAAGGCTAGCAGTTTGTACTGAGTAGTTTACGGATCTCTGTAGATTGTTTTTACATCTAGTTTTACCTCGCCCTCTGGGCAACGAAGGTTGATTTTGTTTTCCTTTTCTGTCCTCGTTTTCATTGGAAATGAATAGAGGTACTCAAATTATTGAAGAAATAAATCTTCCTTATTAGCTGGGATATTTAATAATGTACAATAGGTCTGTCAAAGTAAGCAGCAAGAGTGTGAACAGACTCTCAATAAGCTCTGTCTGGTCACTTAACTCGCGCACTGTGGAAAAATACCCGCGGTCCCGCCCTGCAGGTCCCAAACAGAAGCAAACAGAATGACTGAAAACAGACAGAGCCAAGATGTTGTAACACCCAGGTCAAAGTTCACACCCCAACTGGATTGATATGAAGCAGTGGGATTTTGGAAAAGTCGTTCAGAGATAAAATTCTTCATGAACTGAAGCAATTTTGTCAAGAGGACTGATGATGTCATACAGAGAATAAGCATCATGAGGTGGTTCCACAGTTCACCGAGTCATGGTGTACTTAGTTCCTCCTTGTAGTGAACCGATTATTGAACTGATTTGCCGGATTTGGAATTATAATTGAACTTTTACTGTACTTTTACTGTCTATTAATAAATTAGTGTTTATTAATAGACACTAATAAAAGTTTATTGCGTTTTTTTTTCTGGATTGCCTTCGAAATGTGCTGTAATTCGGGCTTTTTGTGGTGTCATCCACAGGGGAAGCCAGCGCATCGACTATGTGGGATAATCAAGCCTGGAGTTATCTCCATGGAAACGAGGAGCAGACAGAACCTCCGTTCCTAGCTCAGGACTTCATCCATGCAGTCCAGCCTGGCGCCAAGATCATCATAATGCTTAGGGATCCAGTTGAGAGGTGAAAACAAACTCATTCATTATAAAGACATTTTGCAATGTCCCATTTGTTGCAAAACAACAACAACAACAACAACAACAACAACAACAACTGTCCCTGCATCCGGTGCAGTTTAATGTCCAGTTTTCTCAGAACTCGGTTTATTGTGTCCTCAGGCTTTACTCCGACTACTTGTACTTTACCTTGGCCAATAAGTCTGCAGAGGATTTTCATCAGAAGGTGGTTGAGTGTGTCCAGTTGTTTCAGTCCTGTCTCTCTGAGAGGTCACTGCGATCATGCGTCTACAACACCAGCCTTTTCAACGCCATGCTGGTCAGCTATGTCCTTACGTCGCTTTTCAGATGCTTTACATCTTTTCCCTCTTTTACAGCAATATTTACTGATACTGAAGAATTGTTCAAAAATTCATTTATATTTTAATATCTCTGTCTCTCTGCCTTGTAATTTATTTCCAAGAACAAACAGCAACAAGAAGTAACAATCATCCCCAGCTTGAAATATAATGAAGCCGCTCTTGCTTTGAAAGGAGAAATCTTTCCATCTTGATAAGTTCTAATTTATCAAACTCATCCCCTGGTCTCTCCTCCTTTTTCTCCGTTTCAAATGGTTGGTGACCCAAACAGCTACTTTGGAAGATTGGCTACATTGTAAAGCCATCGTAAGATCACTTGAGGAGAAAGATTAATAAATCACCATGAGATCCCATTTAAATCTGCTCTCCTTTCTAGAGGGACATAAAGAGCTGACAAATATGTAGATGTTCTAGTGACCTCTGGAGGCCACAGTGTGCTACAGCATATGCATTAAGGCCCTAGTCCTTTATTTGCCTATCTTGTAACCAAAAAATAGAAAAATAAAAAAATTTCAGCAACACAATAAGGAATTTAATGTCTTTTTTAAAATTTGTTTTTATAGATATATCCTGTCATCTGATGAAACTAAAATGTGGTTGACCATAATGTATGTTGTTACATTTGGAGGAAAAGTGAACACCTGAAAGCTTGAGAACAACACTGCCGCTTTCAAGACAGTTGGCATAATGAGGAAATATTGAATCTGAAATCAGGCAGAAAGTTGCAGTTCTGGCACAAATAGTCTTCCAAATGAACCATGTGTCCATTTGGAAGACCAACAATACAACCAAAAAGTTCAGATCTTAATCTCATAGACAATTTGTGAATCAAACTTCAAAAAAATGAAATTTCTCTCACATTATTCTGACATTTAGCAAATTTAAATCATTTTGGTGAACCTGACTGACCTTGATAAACAAAGGTCATCTTTTAATACTAAATTCCTGGTTTGTAATTTAAAAGGATGATAACATTATTTTAACAGTGCTGGATTATGGTAGAAACTAAAACATGTAGCACTTCTTGTATTTTTCTATATTGAACTTATTGAGATAAAACAGTCTTGCCTTTAGAGTGAAACATCCCAATTCTCCTGTCCTAGAAAATGCAAATTATATAAAAATATTGCACTTCCATTAACTATTTAAAAGGGTTTGCGGCCACAGGTTGTCCTTTCAAGCATTGACACAAATCAACCCTGAATGCTCATGATTATTGCAGTGAAGGATGTTAAACAGTGCAGCACTACAGTATTGCTGTAGATTTTAATTATGCAGATATGCAGCACTGATGCTTTATTCTCTGCTAATGCTCTTCAAACTCTCCTTAAAGAGCTGACTTCTTCATTAAGCTAATTTAAAATATGTTTTAAAGTGTTTAGCCTGACACATCAACACACCGCTGGATTCTTATTGTGCGTTTTTTATGTTGGTTTTTGCTCACAGGTGAGACTCACACTGGGAATGTACTTTGTTTTTGTCCTGGACTGGCTGACTGTTTTCCAAAGAGAGCAGATTCTAGTTCTTCGACTGGAGGACTACGCAGCCAACCTCAGAAAAACTCTCAAGACAGTTTTTGATTTTCTCGGTGTGGGTATGTGACATCTGTCGTTCGTTTCTGGGAAGGTTTGTGTGTCACTCGTTACAAAATATCCTCATTGGCTCTTTGTTTCTCCACTGTCCCCGCAGGCCCGCTGTCAGAGCAAGTGGAGGCGTCGCTGACCAAACGTCCAATGTCCAATACGCGCCGGGCGAAAGACAGGATCCTTGGTCCCATGCTGCCAGCAACCAGGAACCTCCTCAGTCAGTTTTACCAGCCATTTAACAGTAAACTGGCCAACATTTTGAACAAAAAGGCTTTCCTCTGGAGTTACAGCTGAAGCAGCCTGAGCAGGAATGAAATCGAATGGAGTTGAGAGATCGGAGAGAAATGTGACAGCAGACTGCAATGAAACGCCTGAAGTGAACCTTCAGTGAAAGAACTGATGCTCACGGCTCTTTGAAAGCAGGACACTTCAAGTCAATATGAAAATGAGGTAAACAAACCCTCATGTCACAAAGTGCATTCTTAAGAGTCCGTGCAACAAACAACATGCCTGAATAGTTTCCACCTAATTTATAACTGAGAAGAACGAGTTAAGTGTCTTGTGCTGTAATAGTTTGTTTTGAACATGTACAAATAAAATGAATTAGTTTCGTTTTGTTTATGTCACATTTGGTTTTAGGTTTGAAAAAAAACCTAACATCAGGGGATTGTAATAAAAAAGAATCTGATTTTCATATTGGACTGCATATTTTCTGTTGTGGATTACATAAATAAATAAATAAATAAATAAAATGAACAATGGTGAAAAGAAGGTCATATAAAGTGAAACATTAAAACTGTAAACAGGAAACTGAAGAACAGACTGTGATTTTAAGTGGATTCCACAATATTAGCCAGTCTATTTCATGATAAAGATTAGTACACAATTTTGATCAGAGACAACCAGCTGAGGTTAAAGGAATTAAAACCGTGAGACTACAACTCTGTAGATTTCTGTTTGGTGTTTAATAATGGGTCTCCGTTCACATTGTATGTCCTTTAGCATTTTCAAGGTTTTCAGCGTCTGTTCCCTTCTGAGTAGAGTTTGGGTGTTCTGCTTATGTATGCATGGGGTCTTTCAGGTTTGTCCAGTAAATTAAAGTGTGTTTGTGTGTCTGTGTTGCCCTGTGGCCTGTCCAGTGTGTAATGCTTACCCTGCCTCACATTCATTGAACTCTCACCACCAGGATTTGGCAGGAGTGTGTAACTTTGAACTGATCACAAGGCCTTTAGGATCTCAGTAAAATACCAAACATGGTTCCGGATGATTGTTCATTTATTAATGGACATGATTTATTTCGTAATTTGGCTCAAAGATTAGGTAATTGGAAATATTAAACAGTCCTTTTCAACTGTTTAATATTTTCAAGGTTTTTGAATTCTGGTAAAATGTGTTCATATCATAGGACCTGGAATCTACAGATGTAGAAAGACAGACTAAAAAAAAAAAAAAAAGTAACTAAACAGCCTATTAAATGTGGAATAACAACGGTCCCTATAGAGTGAAATGTGAAAAGAAAGGTTGCAGGTTTTGTTGTTACTGACATACATGAAAGAACAGACACTGAACACAAGAGGGCACTAAAATACAGATCAAAGCTAAACATTCACCACACATCAGAAAACATTGCTGATTTTATTGTAACATTTATCTACATATTAGAAACTTGACTCTTTCTAGTAAAAAAAAACACACAACACTTAAAACACATAACATATTTCTATTTGACAGTTATTGTCTTTTATTTTTATTTCTCTTTGCAGTCTAGTTCACAGATCTAGATCACATTTATCTTTGTACACATCTAGGTAAAAGGCTGAAGGCTTTGTTAAAGCACGTGCAATTCAAATTATTTCAACATGAAAAATAGTTCATGAAAAATAGCTGTCATGATCTGTGTTTATTTTGAGTTTTTCTATGTTTTCC